ATGTGTATGTATAATTATGTATGTGTATATTTGCATGAATATATGTATATATACATGTATTACATATAATACATATCATATAAATTATAGAATTTAAAATTTATATATTACATAATTAATGTATTGGTTATATTAATTATGAATATATAATTATTTATTATATCTTATATAAATATAAGGAAAAGATTCTCTTCTCAGCCCCTACCCTAGTCATTCTCTTCCAGAAGAAATCATTGTTTCCATTTTCTGTAGAAGTCTCAAGAAATCACATGCACATGTGTTGTCTTATTTAATTCTCACTGTCTTTCTTTCATGTTCAGTGTACATACATACACACATGTATGTATTTGTTTACTCATGGTTGGGGTGAGAGAGATGGTGTATGTATCATTGGTGTATTCAGCACTTAGAGGCACGTTTTGTCAGCTCCACTTATGGATTAGAAAACTGAGAATCAAAGATGTGAAATAACTTACCAAGTCCTTACAGTTAATGACATAGCCATTCCAAGTGCTCACTTGCTTTTTAGACACTCTAGTTGTTTCATTATGAAAAACACTCCTTTTTAGAACACTAAAGAGGACTTTCAAAGTTAATGTTAAGTCCCAAAGAAAATAAAGGAGGACTGGAGGTGTGAGAGTGAGATCTGGGAATGATTCCTAAAATTATATTTGCGAGTTTAAACCCCTGCCAGTAGATGCAGGAAGCGACCAGATATGGGTCACCCAGTGCCTGGCTGCCCAGTGGGACTGTAGGAAAACCAAGTTCCCTAAACCAGGGGAAAGGGTCTGGTTTCAGAAAATACTTTAGCTGATGGGAACGAAGCAGAAGTTAATTCCCACCAACCTGAGGCTAGCCTACATTTACATGGACATAGATCCTGAGAGAAGCTCCTTGCAGTTGTGGCATTGGCTGATGGAAACTTGGGGCATCTGCTCTTGAGTGCTCAGAAATCCTCCTAGAAAGCAGGGAGGAACAAGGAGCATGGGTGAATGTGCTCTGTCCTCTTTTAACAGAAGGGGTATGTTTCATAAGTAACCTTAGTCAAAGGAGAAAGAATAGTTATTGCTTACTTGGCATATATATCTGACAAAATTCGTGTGTGTTTTTTCCTGGATCTAACACTAAGAAAAATGTGCACGAAATTCATGTGTGTGTGTGTGTTCCTCAGCTCAATCTGCAACCTCTCCAATCTGGGACCCTTGAGGAATGCCTGACTGCCCACTCACAATCCAGGACTGCAGGCTCCCAACTGCTCACCTTCCTGCCTGATTGCCCCTAACTGCTTCTGCCTGCCAGCCTGATCACCCCCTAACTACTTCCTTGCCAGCCTGATTGATGCCTAACTGCCCCCCTCTTGGCCCAATTACCCCTAATTTCCCTTTCCTGTCAGCCTGGTTGCCCAAACTGCCCTCTTCTGCAGGCCTGGTCCCCCCCAACTGTCCTCCCTGATGGCCTGGTTATCCACAACTGCCCTCCTCTACTGGCCATCTTGTGGTAGCCATCTTGTGTCCACATGGGGGCAGCCATCATTGACACATGGAGGTGGCCATCTGGTGTGTTAGAGTGATGGTCAATTTGCATATTACCTCTTTATTATATAGGATAAGTCAGGTGGGATGCGATGCTGAGTCCCCTTCACAGACATTTCATCTTCATTACAACTCTGTGAGATGCAGAAAACTGAGGCCCATTTCATAGATAATGGCCTAGGCCATCAAAATGTTTGTAGAGGGCATAGAACTGAAATGGTGGGGGTGGCATCAAGACACCTGACTCCAAAGCCCATGCTTTTGCCAATTCTGTGTCCTGGGCTTAGAAACAAAACAGACAAAGCAGACAACTATTACCATGGTGGACAAAATTGATTCTATTAACCACTTTATCACTTTATCTTTTGTGGACATTTCTAATCTTAAAGCTAATTATCTCTTTTTTAATTAGTGTCTTCTAGTTACTCAGTGGAAAAAATGTGATAAACTTCTTAGGATGAAGGCTGTGTTGTTGTTTTTTTTAATTATGAAATCAGAATTTACATTGGAATGTAAACAACCAATCATTTACTGGTGGCAGAGGCTTACTGGAGCCTGTTTTTCAAACTATGAGTCATGGTTCATTATTGGGTTATGAAATCAATTTGGTGGGTCATGGTAGCATTTTAAAGAATAGAATAGATTAAGATAAGGTGGAACAGAATAGAATAGAATAGGATAGGATAGGATAGGGTAGGATAGGATAGGATAAGATAGGATAGGATAGAATAGAATAGAATAGAATAGAATAGAATAGAATAGAATAGAATAGAATAGAATGAGGGTGACCCAAAAAATGTATACACACTTTAACAGCTGATAGATAGCTCAATTAATGTTTCTTTCTTTTCAATTTTAACCCCTTGGAAGTAATATATTATTCAAAGTGTGTATATATTTTTATAGAACACCCAGTAGAATGGAAAGAATGAAATGAAATAGAATAGAATAGAATAGAATAGAATAGAATAATACTAATGCATTGGAATAGCAATATTATCTTTTGTATAATTTTCATTCCAGTGCCATATATTTATTGCATTAATTCAAAATGTATAGTTACTACTGTAGGTCACAGTTGTTAAAAAAGTTAACTTTGGAAAGAGAAATGCGAACAGATGTATAATTAAATAAATTGCATATTGTTCTTTTCTGCGGATAGCTTATCCTGTAGTTCCTAACAGAGTACCTTTAGCCCATTGGCCTAGGTGTATTTCAAGCAGAACTTTTTGGACATATCTATGTATTAGTCTTTCCCTAGATCCTTAATTAGATGGATGTGCCTGTTATATTCAAAACATGTTTTGAATACTTAGGGAGAGCAAAGTGACATTTTCAAAAGCTGGGGTGAGTTAGTAGCAGAGGTGGGACCAGAATTAGATTATTTATGGATTCTTTCCAGACTGGAAAAAAGCAGGGTGAGCAATGGCTCTCATGCTGAGGTCAGTGAACATCTGTTCCTTCATAGATGAAGCTAGACAACAAGCGAAACAGGCTTTGATTGCAGCAGGAGGGATTGGGCTAGACCTGGGGAAGGCTTTCCCTGTGGTAAGGAGTGAGCGTGTGTGTAAGACCTTGGAGGTCTTGAAAAGAAAAGGAGGATCAATTCCCTTCAGCCATAGGATCCTTTGGGGAGCAGCAGCAGGACAGTGGGGAGCCTGAGTTTTTCCCATCCCAAGATGTCCTTATTCCTTTAGCCACGCTCTCACTCACTCTCTCCCATTAGCAAGCATAATTGGAGCTGGCCATGTTTCTGTCCTCAGCCACGGATGGATGTGATGAATGCCGTGGTATTTTGCTGGGCTGCAGTTAGTTTTGCTTTTCATCCGAATGTCAAACCAAGCCTGCAACAGCTGTGATCAGCTGTTGGAAGAAGGGGAGTTGAGTGGGGAGGGGGCAGCTCCTGGCCTCTTGCCCAGCCCTAGCCAATTGCTTAGTGTCCACCTCTCAGTTTGTCTTTTCTGTTGCTGACTCCATCACTAGGGCTTTTTTCTATCTTCTTGTGTGCATCTCTCTTCAGGTTGTTTTTCTTTTTCTCTTCTTCCCTCATCTCTCTTTGGGCAATTGGAAGTCACCATACTTTGATGTGAATCTTTCAAAACAGCTAGTGCATTCAGGTTAGGGGGAGCTACAGAGAGCATCCACTTCTGAGACACACACACACACACACACACACACACACACACACACGCACACACACACCTGCCAATTGCTACAGACAGTAAGGTGCAGTATGAGATAGGAGAAAAGTCTGAATTCGGCCAGACTTGGATTCCTGGCTTACCTTAGCCTCCTGCTGTCAATGAGACCTTGGACAACTACTTGAACTTCTCTGAACCTCAGTTTCTTCCTATGTTATATGGGGATATCAATGCCTGCCAGAGGATGCTGTTGTAAAGATTAAATGAGGAAACTTCCAAAAAAAAAGTTCCTTGCTCAGGGATTGATACATACTGCTGCCTTCCCTTCCTATCTCCTCCTCTGATAGAGTCCCCACTCAATGGTCATACATCCCGCATTGTGGCCTGATGCCATCCCACCCCTTCCTCCAGCCCTGGGCTTGCTTTGATTTTATTGAGCGTCAAAGCTTTGCTGAAGTCTATGGAGGAAATAGTTTCATGCAGGATCATAATTCTTCTGTTACTAGCTTTTGTCATCTTTCCAGGTTTAGAAAAAAGTGAATCTGAGAAAATGAGCCATTTCTAACATGAGTCATCCCAGGATGGGGGTAAGGTGGAGACAGCAGTGAGGAAAAGTCCCTCCAAGGGTCTGAGGTCTGAGGAAGAGGCATGAGTTCATGTCAGACCACTGACATTTTGTTTCTTAAGCCATATAAACAACTTATAAAGATGGCCAGTAAAAGAGGATGACACTGACCAACTGTGACTATTATTATCAGTCCTCCTTCCCCAAATTCATTATCTTCAGTGTGGTCACTTCCCTTTGAATACAAGAATGTAGTCATCAAATAAGGCCAGCCTCTCTCAAAACCATAGTCCCATGGCAAACACTTGGGCATGAAGTCCGGGATTGTCTGCTGGCACCTATATCTTCTCTGAGCCCACAGGCTATAAAAACTGTACGAGAACGGGAGGAGGGGGTGTCTTCCTTCCCCTCCAGATGCCATAAGCTAGTGGGAGCCAAGGTAGATTCACTGTCCTAGGGTCTTTTCATGATTGCTGGGCTCCTGTGGAAGGAGAATCCAGATACCAGAGGATTCTTTTGGGGGATGTTAGAGAGTAGGAAAAAGACATTTCTAGTCTCACATTGTTTTTTGGGGGGGACTTTGGTCTTTTTATCCCACAGACACTTGGTTGGGCCATGGATTCCTTTTCTCTACTTCTTTTCCCCCAAGTCGGAGAGCCAAGGCTTGCCTGCTGCTTTGACCCCTGAGGTTCTCTCTAGAGCTACAGTACCCCATTTCTTCCATCTCTTCTCAATCTGAACACCACATTTCTCTCTTGGCAGGTTTAAGGATTACCGAGAGCCACCATGGGCCCCAAACCCATATGAATATTCCAAACAGTACTGGTCTATTCTGTCTGCCCGTCTGGCTTTTGTCATAATCTTCCAGGTGAGTTATTCCAGTAAGTAGTTGCCAATTAGGACTTAAACTTCAAGAGTTAAGACAACCATGTCTCCTTGCTGGCCCCTCATCTCCAGGTTTTCATGGCACAGGTGACATAGGGGGCCTTCACAGGTGGCAGGCAGTGAGTGCTCCCTTCCCTGGGCATCCATAAATTGTTGGATTTGCAGAAAGAAACTAAAACACAGAATAAGAATACAAGGCAGATGTTGAATAAATTGCAGGGTGGAGATAGATTTCCATTTCAACCTAAGGCAACAAAGGGAAGTGGGAAGAGCAGTGGAAACCAGAGTCTCAGCTCTAATGCAGACAAACAGCTCCATCTGAACTTTTTCCTAGCCCTCTCAGCTGTCTCCCTCCCTTGTTCTTGTTGTTTTAGGCCCTGAGACATCTGGTGGGAAGGGCCGCCAGAACCATCCCACCATTCATGAATGAATAGCAAACCTGAGCCCAGTGATTCCTATCTCTGACAATAGCAGCAGCTCCACTTGTACCTCCAAGATTCTCTGAGCATGAGGCCCCCCTTCCCGATTCTCCACTTGGGGCCTTGTGGGTCTTCAAGCAAAACTGGAGCCCCAACCCAGATCCTTTTCTCATCCACTCCCTCAGGCTTTTGTAATCCCTGAAGGCGGATCTCTAGAAGGCTCTAAAATAGCCTGCCCCTGACCCAAGCCCAGGAAGTGAAGGAGCCCCACGGCCAGTCTTTCACCTAAAGAAGACAGCCATTTTTCCTCTGGGGTGATGGGGTGATATATTTGAAAAATCACTCAGACATCCCCTGCTGCCCCACCTGTTGGAGTCTCTTCACTTTACCATATGTCACATAAAGCATTGACTGACCCTGTGAGAAGTTAGTTAAAAGGAAGAATGTATGACTCAGAGTAGCTCTAGATGGCCTAAGGCAGCTCCACTGTTGAGATGATCACTCTGAGGGGCAAGGATAGACTGGTACACTGATGTTCCCCAGCTAAGCCTTCTCACTTTTGACAGAACCTTGTGATGTTCCTAAGTGTCCTCGTGGACTGGATGATCCCAGATATCCCCACGGACATCAGCGACCAGATCAAGAAAGAGAAGAGCTTGTTGGTGGACTTCTTCCTGAGAGAGGAGCATGAGAAGCTCAAGTTGATGGATGAGACAGCCCCCAGCAGCCAGGGAGGGAGCCATCAGAGCAGGAGGAGCCGGGCAGCCAGCTCAGCACCCTCTGGCCATAGCCAGCCAGGCAGCATCGCATCCTCTGGTTCTCAGCACACCAGCGTGTGAGCAAGTCAGCCCCACTGCTGAGGGGGCGCTGCAGCAGTGAGAGACCATTCACAAGCATGTCTGTGCTTCTGCACAGTGTGGTGTCTGTCATCTGCCAGGATATGTCACAAGGGGATCTTGAAATGGGTGTATGTATGAAGAGAGAGAGAATGAGCTCAGAAAGGAAGTGAAATGATGCTGCTTCTTAGAAACTCCAAGATTAAGTTTATTTTACTGTAGCCTTTTGGGGAATTGGTACCATTTTGAGTTTCTCTATCCCAGAATTCCAAGGTACTGAAACCAAGGGTCCTTATGACTTGGATTAAATTAGCTTTAAGTCCTAGCTCTAGACATCATATGCCTCTTTCTATTTATACATACCCCTCAGAGACCTAACCTTTTCCCCAATAATCAGCAGCCCCCAAAGCAGGAGAAGACAGTAGCTCAGACCTGACAAGTGGTCACAGGATCCAGATCTCTGTCAGGATAAAGATCACATCTTCACCTAAGTTATGTTTCAGTTCCCAAGCCCTCAATAGGAACAATCCCCTGGATACTTCCCCATGAGGGACACCATAAAAGACCTCAGAACTGTCCTCAAGATCTGAAGAAATGATTTATTACACTCATCTCACCTCTGACCAATCAGCTCCCCACACAACCCTGAACCCCTAACCCACAGTGTCTTCTGATTTTGCTCTATATAATCTATAATCTATACTCTATTGGAGAGTTGGGCTTTTTTTTTTTTTCTTTCTTTCTTTCTTTCTTTCTTTCCTTCCTTCCTTCCTTCCTTCTTTCTTTTTTCTTTTTTCTTTTTCTTTCTTTCTTTCTTTTTTTTTCTTTCTTTCTTTTTAGAGCATAAGCTCCCACCTCCATTTGGCCAATTCAATATTAAACTTTTTTTATTTATATACTGCAAACCCCTGTTCATGCATTTTGTTGGACCAGTGTGTGTAAGTATGAGGATTCCAGGAAAAACATCAGAGTTCCAGTAACAGCACCATGAGCCTTCCCTATGTTTCCTCAGGTACCCCCTCATTTCAGATAGCTGCAGGCCATGACAGAAGCGTAGTCAGGGCCCTGTTGTAGCATTCATTATAAATGATCATTCCCCTGCTTCCCACCATCACCCCGAGAAAATTCTGAGTACTTACAGTCGAGGCTCTCATAGCCTCAGTGGATGCAAATTAAGTGACAGGGCTGATTTTTACTGTGGCCACTGGACCTGATGGTGAGTTGCAAAGTTTCAAACCTGGGCTTGTCTATAGTTCATGTCACAGGGGTGCTTTGAGCTGAATGTAACTAATCATCATTTTATGCAGATTCAGATTTAAAAGAAAATAAATTGAAACATTCTTTATAAAGATGCTTCTCCTTGTCTTTGGTTTTCTCTCCCCTCACCCCAACCAATATTTATTGAGCACCTACAATGTTCTCAGACTAGAGATATGTGAGACAAAAATCCCTGCCTCATGGTGTTTACATCATGGGGAGAGACAGACAGTAAGCTGATACATGTATAAAATTTTAGATAGTAATAAGTGCTATGGAGAAACAAAAGGAATAAGAGACAGGAAGTGTTAGGACACCAAAGAAAAGGGACTTACCATTTTATATGCAAATTCATTTCAAACCCAAAATGATTAAAAGCTTACGTTTTGCAATGTTAACATCATCGAATGGTAGCAGCCTTCCAGATCTCTGTTGTGATACGATTTTCAAGTATAGTTGGAACCAAGAGGCAAACATCATTCATCACTGCCTTTCACACACCTCAACCCCACCTGCTTTCCAGAAATCAGCTGCAAAGTCCTCTTCCTCTGGCCCTGACCCCAGTTTACAGGTCAGTTTGGTGGAGTCGAACCCAATGCCTGAATAGAAGCTGCAAAGAGGCCGTGCTCCAGAGGAGAAATGAGAGTTATGCTGATATTTAAATATATCCTGTGATGTGAGGGCTCATGGGTGCTTAGGCTGGTCATCATGGCTGCTCTACATGCTTCTTGTTTCCTCCCATACATGTGCAGGATCACACTGCTGCTGATCCTGGCTCTGCAAAGTGGGTCCTCCTTTTAAAAGGATACCAGGGCAGCCTGGTCGGCATTGCACAGTGGTTGAGCATTGACCTATGAACTAGGAGGTTGTGGTTCGATTCTCGGTCAGGGCACATGCCTGGGTAGTAGACTCAATCCCTAGTGGGGGGTGTGCAGGAGGCAGCCAATCAATGATTCTCACATTGATGTTTCTATCTCTCTCTTCCTCTCTGAAATCAATAAAACTATTTTAAAATAAAATGATACCAGGGCATAGCTGCAGCTGTTAGTAAAAGCAACAAACACTAATGTCCCAGGCCACTTATACATAAAAAACCCCACAATGCATTTTAATTCACACCTTTCAGACTGGGGCTAGATTTAAACTACAGCAGCATGAAAACATTGCATCACTTCTGATAATCTGGGGAGAGTCGAATTTCACTTCAAGGGGCATTAATGATGGGGAGATTCCAGGACCATATCCCCAGTGACTCCTACCAGCATGGGTGGAGTTGATATTTCCAGGAACCAGTGATGGCCTATAGTCAGGATGTACACTACCAGGACAATCACTTTGTAGTGGCTGAACCACACTCAAGCCCATTGGTTGTCCATGGCTGGTTCAAGACCCTACCTCTTATCCCTCTTCTTTTTAAAATTCAACATTTTCATATGACCCTAGAAGTGAAACTTACACACCAAGAAAGAGACAATCTAAAAATCAACGAAGAATGTCTTAGTCGAGTAGCTCAGTTGGTTAGAGTGTCATCTCCATAAGTCAAGGTTGCAGGTTCAATCCCCAGTCAGGGCAACCAGTGAATGCACAAATAAATGGAACAACAAATCAGTGTTTCTCTCTTTTTCTCTTCCTCCCTCTCTCTCTAAAACCAATAATAAAAATAAATAAATAAAGCATACAAAACAACAAAGAAAGTAAAATCACCCACAATCCCTAAATCAATAATCAACATTGACAATTACTATGGGTATTTTGGTGTTTTTTTTTTTCCAGACTCTTATGCCCTTTCAAGCACATCTGTATTTTTTAATTACAATTATGCAGTATACTAGAGGCCCAGTGCACAAAATTCATGCATGGGGGAGAGGAGGTGGCGAGGAGGGTGTCCTTCAGCCTGGCCTGCACCCTCTCCAATCTGGGACCCTTCATGGGATAACTGGCAGTCGGACATCCATCTCACAATTCAGAACTGCTGGCTCCTAACCACTCCCCTGACTGCTTGAATGCCCTTTACTGCTTCTGCCTGCCAGCCTGATCCTCTCTAACTGCTCCCCTGCTGACTTGATGACTTGATTGTCCCTAATCACCTTGCCTCAGCCCTGCACTCTGGGAACCAGGATTCCCTCCTCGGCCAACCATAGGCACCTGGGATCTGGGCTTCCTTCCCTCTGGTCAGCCACAGGTGCCCAGGCTGGCTGCAGACTCAGGGGATGGTGGGACAGGTGGCTTTGCCTGTGCTTCAGCTACAAGTGCTGGCGCCTGGGACCTCAGTGTGAGCGGCTTCTCCATCTCCCAGGCCACAGCCAGGCACAGGTGCTTGTGCCCCAGACTTCAGGATGGGTGGCTTCTCTGACTACCAGGCTGAAGGCCAGCTGTAGGTGTGGCGCCTGGACCGCAGATAGGCAGCTTCTCCATCTTCCCTTGGATGCAGTGTGGGCAAGTTCTCCGGCTGGCTGTGGCCTGGGATCACAGGGCAGGCGGCTTCTTCATCTCCCGGGCTGCATCCAGCCTCAGGCACTGGCGCCCGGTTTCTTGTCTCCACCAGGACATGTGGTGGGCAGCTTCTCTAGCTGGCTGCGGCCTGGGATCATGGGGCAGGTGGCTTCTTTGTTTCCCAGGTCGCATCCAGCCTCAGGCGCTGGGGCCTAGTTTTTCTGCTTCTGGCTATGGCCTGGGATCACGGGGCAGGTGGCTTCTTCATCTTCGGGGCTGCAGCCAGCCTCAGGCACTGGCACCCAGTTTCTTGTCTCCCCCAGAATGTGGGGCGGGCAGACATGAGGCAGGTGGACGTGGGGCGAGCAGACGTGGGGCGGGTGGCTTCTTCAGCTGGCCATAGCCTGGAATCACGGGGAAGGCAGCTTCTTGGTCTCCTTGACTGTAGCCAGCCTCAGGCGCTGGTGCCCGGTTTCTCAGTCTCCCCCAGAACGTGAGGCGGGCGGATGTGAGGTTTCCGAGGCTGGCTGTGGCCTGGGATCACGGGGCAGGCGATTTCTTGGTCGCTGCAGCCAGCTTCAGGCACTGGAGCCCAACTTCTCTGACTCTTACAGGCTGGGAGCGGCTGTGGGGCGGGGCTGTCACCATGTTTTCGTTTCAATTTGCATACTCACTCTGATTGGCTGTTGTGCCTAGGCGAGTAATGTGATTTGCATGTTCTCTTTTATTAGTGTAGATGCTGAATTATTTATTAATTATTGTAATTATTAATACAATAATTAATAAATAATAATACAAGAATAAACTCCTTGTTTTGCATACTCACAATTCTAAACCTACTTTTGCACCATCCTTTATATAACAAAACAGAGTTGGTGTTAAAAATGAATTCTAAGTCTCCTGCCTTTTTATATTGTCACTAGAGCAGGTCTGGCAGGGTGGAAGGGCCACGGAGGGGGTGGTGGGGGGCGTTGACTGGCCACTGCACCCTCATTGGGGTGGGAAAGGCTAGCAGGGAGAGGAGTTGGGGTAGGTTGGCCAGCTGGCCTCACCCCCTGATTGGCTGGTTCGCTGGCTGCAGTGGGCATCATAGCTCCCAGTCATTCCAGTCATTACAGCATTTGGTCGCTGACTTTTTATCTATATAGCTAGTCATCCCTTAGTTTGCCAGAGTACACCTACAGGTAAAAAAATTTTTTTAACAAGTTGGTGGTAAAGATGCCACAATGTTCCTGCAGGATTTAAATGCTCATTCCTAGCTGCAATCAAGACCCTGACAGAATCATGTTAAGTGAGAGGGCAGCCCAGTCATTACCACTGCTGTGGGATGAAGCTCATTTTCCTCAGTTCAGATGACTCTAAAGGGCCACCCCAGCTCCAGACTCCCTGTGGGATCAACAAAGGCCTCCAAGGCAACTCATTGCAGCTCAGATTCTCCCTCTGCCTAGTTCTGCTTCCCTCATGCCCACAGTTCTAGAGCACACGTCCCAATACACCTCCTTCTACAATAGGTACACAGGTCTCAGGCATATAGTCAGCTTCCCAGACAACCTATAAGAAACATAACATTTGCCTTATTATAGGAGTGATGATTTGGCTGGATTTACCACCTTTCTCTAAAAACAGTGGACAATTAATCCATGACCATATTTTTCCTCCTAGCTTGATGCCAATTGGATTTAAAATTTTATTCTTGTAATTAAAAAACGTCACTGAGTGACTTTTATTCAATACTGGAGGCTTGATGCATGAAGTTTCATGCAAGAATGGGTCTTCCTTCCCTTGGTTGCCAGCAGCACCTTCACTCTGGCCAGAGCTGCCTTTCCACTTTCCCACACTGCCCAGAGGTCCAGAGCAGCTGGGGTGGTGTGGAATGCCTGCTTTGTCGCCATGGCAACAATGCAAGTGTCCTGCCCCACCCCCAGCCACTCAGCACCTGTGTATGCAAAGTAACCCACCATCTTTGTTGGGTTACTTTGCATACTTACTCCTGATTGGCTGGTGGGCATCATGAAGGTACGATCAATTAACATGCTACTCTTTTAT